AGTCGCAGTCCTCATCGGAACCGGTATTGGTGTCACACCCTGGGCCTCAATTCTCAAGTCCATCTACCACCTCCGTCTCAGCCCTAACCCACCCAAGCGTCTCCGCCGTGTCGAATTCATCTGGGTCTGCAAAGACACCTCATCCTTTGAATGGTTCCAGACCCTCCTCTCATCGCTCGAAGCGCAGTCCCTCGGCGGCGCAGATGGCGACCAATTCCTGCGCATCCACACTTACCTCACCCAGAAGATGGACGTCAACACTGCGCAAAACATTGTTCTCAACTCTGTAGGCACCGACAAGGATCCCCTCACAGAACTCAAGTCACGCACCAACTTCGGTCGTCCCGACTTCCAACGCCTGTTCTGCGGTATGCGCGATGGTATCCTAGACCGGACCTATATGAACGGTCTGGAAAGCACGCTACGCACAGAGGTCGGTGTCTACTTCTGCGGTCCCAACGTTGCGGCCCGCGACATCAAGAAGGCGTGTAAGCAGGCGGCATGCCAGGAGGTCAACTTCAAGTTCTGGAAGGAGCATTTCTAGATGACGCTGTTGTTCAAGAATGTGTATTTTGTATGCGAGGTTGAATGTCAAGGCGTAAATCAGGTTGATGTGTATTTGTTACGATTAGCCTTCAGAGTAGTAACCCAAGGGTACACTCCATTTTCATGTGTTCTTACTACAATATGCGGATTATGCAAAGGAAAGAAAGAAAGAAACTAGACTTTTTGAAAACCTCTATCATGACTCCAATTACTTCCGCGCATGTGTTGAACGTCTGATGTGTTGGTGATACTTACTCGTACCTCCTAGAGACTCGATCACACGAACCAACACACCAAGCAAGACAAGCCTTCACCAAGCACGTCCAACCTCCAACACAACCCACCATCGAACCACCCTCACTCCACCCAAGTACCCATCTCAATCTCACCTCTAACACTCATGCACCACGCCTCTATTCGCCTCATCTCTGTCCCTTGCAGCCTCGCTTCGGTACAAAGAGCTTCCGAACCATGCGCATGGTGAAACAAGACACCTTAGTACCACCATAGTAATCCCACCTCTCCACTCCGACTCCCTTGGCAGCTATAACAAAGGATCAAAGCTGTGATGTTAGAGAATGAAGGTGGTGCGATGATGGGTCGATACATTCGCCGATGGGATTGGGAAGGAGAGTGTAGGTGTGTAGGTGTAAGGCCGCCTGCCTGTCTTACCCCGAATTCCTACGCGCGCGCGATAACTCTTCCGTCTTCGTTCAAGAACAATTCTCTGCCACTGCTTCTCTTTCTTCATGCATGTATTATCGTTGTGCGTGTACCTGGATATACATAGCACCTGCCAGCGCGATGCGCGTCGTCAAGCCGCCAGTCGCCACATATTGCGGCGCAGTCATGCAGCAAACACGGACCGGAGACCGCGGGGATGGAAATAGACGGGAAGTCTGATGTGCATGCGGCGTGGGCGGTTCTATAGGCTGATATGGTTCTGTGGATTGCGATGATGTTCGTCTTCGGGATTGAGGAAGACGAGGGTGTTTGCAGGTGGTGTTCGCGACTTCCATGCGAGGACGAGGTAAGCGCCCCGGTTTCCTCAACATGTGTTTTCCTCCATAAATGACATGACACCTAAGAAGACGAACGAACGGCAATAGTCTAACTACCATTGTCTGTCTGCGCCAACGTGACATATCAATCCTTCCGTCGTACACCGTACCTGCGTGACAACCCGACCGCCGCATCTAGAACCCATCAATCGGTGAACGCGCCGAGCCAACACGCCAACAAGCACTCCCATCCACGTCTAAGATCGGTCATGAGCCGAGGCTACACAAACGCTATTCATGGGTTACGCATATTTTTCTCCACTCAACACCACGTCTCCAACTATCGTGAAATCTGTCTTCCCTCTAGTCTCGGAGGCTCGGTGTAGGTTACACTACCAGAAGCAGTATAGCTGCAGCCACCAACCTCCAACCCCACCACGTAGCTTCGCGGCGGAAACGTAGAAGGGGTCCAACTGCATCGCGGAACTGCCAGACTGGGAAGCCGATACTTGCGCGTACCTGCCCCCTTCTTGCGGACTTGTCTGCCCTCCCATTCGTGGAAAGACTGGTGATGCGCGACTATGTGGGGTTCTTCCTCCAACTTGCCATGGCGGGGCGGCGTGACGTTCTCATGAATGGAAGTATTATTCATGGGCGCGGTTTGCGTGGTTGCCCCGCACCAATTGCGAAGGAGCGGAAGGGTAAAGTCTGGGTTATAGTAATGGATTAGGTACATGCTGGCAAGCACCAAGCGGTAAAGGCGTACGCTTGCAGACAGGCAGAAAAGAAGGGCCGCGGGAGTAAGTAAAGGTGGCCAGGTGATCTTTATTGACGCGGTTGTCCCCCCCAGTTTTTTGTTTACCTACCCTTTCTATCGGACCTTTCTTGCATCATCCCCATCCTTGCGATTGCATACCTTTAAACGTTCCTTTTTCGTGCGTTTGGTTCCATGGCTTCTCTTCCCCTCTTCACTAGCTGGGCGTCGGAGATTAAGCAATCACTCAACATCAAGGAAGAGACGACCAAGATGAACGGCACACATACTGAGGCTGCTGCTGCGCCGGCGACGAACGGTGTTAGCAAGGCTAATGGCAACGGCACGGATGTTCAGTTCTCGTCAAAGGCTAATATCGGTGTTTACACCAACCCCGCGCATGATCTCTGGGTCGCGGAGGCGGAACCCAGTCTGGAGGTTGTGCAAAGAGGAGGAGATTTGAAGCCAGGCGAGGTTCTTATCAATGTCAAGAGCACGGGAATTTGCGGGAGTGATATCCACTTCTGGCATGCTGTACGTTTTCTATGCCCCTGGGGTTTTGACGGCAGCAGAAAGCTTCCAAAGCTACACAGAGAACGAACAAGTGCTAACTCCATTTCTAGGGCTGCATCGGACCCATGATCGTAGAAGATACCCATGTCCTCGGCCACGAATCCGCCGGCACAGTAATGGCCTGCCACGAATCCGTCACGCACCTCAAGCCCGGCGACCGCGTAGCCATCGAACCCAACATCATCTGCGGCGAATGCGAGCCCTGCCTCACAGGCCGGTACAACGGCTGCGAGCGCGTCCAATTCCTGTCTACACCACCCGTCACCGGCCTGCTCCGCCGCTACCTCAAGCACCCAGCCATGTGGTGCCACAAGCTGCCCGACAGCATGACCTTCGAAGACGGTGCCATGTTAGAGCCTCTTTCCGTTGCGCTTGCTGGCATGGACCGCGCGAACATCCGCCTAGGTGACCCCACCATCGTCTGCGGCGCCGGCCCCATCGGCCTCGTCACACTTCTCTGCTGTCAAGCGGCTGGCGCGACCCCCCTCGTAATCACCGACATCGACCAAGGCCGTCTCGACTTCGCCAAAACCCTCGTCCCCGGCGTCCTAACCCACAAAGTCGAATTCAGCCACTCGGCCACGGATTTCCAATCCGCCATCCTCAAACTGACCGACGGCGTCGAGCCCAGCCACGCCATGGAATGCACCGGCGTAGAATCCTCCATCTGCGCCGCCATCCAAACCGTAAAGTTCGGCGGCAAAGTCTTCGTCATCGGCGTCGGCAAGAACGAAATGAAGATTCCTTTCATGAGACTGAGTACCCGCGAGGTGGACCTGCAGTTCCAGTACCGCTACTGCAATACGTGGCCCAAGGCTATTCGGTTGTACAAGTCTGGTGTGATTGATTTGAGCAAGCTGGTTACGCATAGGTATAAGCTTGAGGATGCGGTTGAGGCGTTTAAGACGGCGGCGGATCCCAAGACGGGGTGTATTAAGGTGCAGATTCAGAGTTTGGATTAGGCGTGGGTAGGGGAGTTGAGGGGTGGGGGGTTTTCTTGTGATGTACATGACGATGACCATGATGAGTATGAAGGGCGGTGGTTGGTGTGAGGGTGCATCCAGCATTTACATCTTGGCGTTTTTCGGGGAGAGTTCGTCTGGTTGACGATATCTAGCAGAAATGAGATTATGACTCTATGCGTCTCCTGTGTCTACATGTATCTTGCTCACCTCTGCTGGTGTGCGATCTGATTGCACTTTCACGTCGTGCCTCTCTAACATGAATCATTCCGTCCATAAGATTGGCAGCAATCCCTCATGACGTGAGCCGACAAACGCGTCTTAAAAGCGCTCTAAGCTCGACGCGAGGGAATGTTATGCCAGAAAACTCTACGGATGTGTTGGGAAGCACTGCGACGCATTCGCCATTCGGCGTCGTAACAGGGGAGGAGCATAGCTCCGTAAGCATGAATCTGTAGACAGAGAAGTCAGCCTTGTGGTGATCTAAGAGGAAAGACAGAAGGTAAGACAGTGCTTATATGCTGCTATGCTACCGTAAAACACCGTCTTACTCCGCTCAGGGAGGCTACATTTGGCGCGTATACCTTGTCCCAATGTCCATGGAGTTGCTCGCGCTTGACATTGCGGTTGCGCCTGACTATGACTGTATCAAGAGAACGAAGTCGCAGAAGCGACAGTTCGACGTGTGTTCCGACGAGGCTGGCGCGTCATCATGGGCAGATTGGTACGTTGAGTTGAGGGTTGGGGATGATGACGACGGGACCTCGACGCGTTGTCGCACAGACCAATATCGTCCAACCCACGCGTTCCTCCAACACCCCATTTACTTCTACATCGCCGTCTCGCATTCATAACACATGTATAAGTTTCCGCGCACGGATTTCCTCCCGTTCAGTCTACAATCTGCAAGGTCCTGCATGGCCCTGCAAGTCAGACACAAGCTTTATCGTATTAGCAGTGGCCAATGAACCACAGCAAGCCATTTACCCTACTCGTTCCAGCTTCTCCTGCGTAGAAAGGCCCTGCAGGTCGCGCGCAGGTCTCTCGTGGCTCTGCATGTGCTTACTGTCAGCACCCCATGCTCATGTCGCTTTATGATAAGTTTCCTTCGCCTGTCGCGCTTCTTCGAAGTGATCCTTCCACCTTTCCTTCTCGACCCTCAACATGCTGCTCCAAAGCGTTTTCTTGCTATGCTTCGCTATACTTACAGAAGCTCGTACGCATCTCGGACGTACTGCCCAGGTGATTGAAGCAAGACAACTCAGCAAAGAGACGACATACGATTTCATTATTGCTGGTGGTGGCATTGCGGGGCTCACGGTTGCAGATCGTTTAACGGAGAACCCAAATGGTACATTCATCGCATGCTCGAAAGGCTGCAAATTAATCATGAGCAATAGTCACTGTACTAGTCATCGAGTATGGCCCGTTTGACCAGAGAGAAGATGGTGTCATGATCCCTGGCGCCTATTTTCCGGTGCCTTACCTCTGGCTGCCGTTGATGAGTACGCCACAAACAGCGCTTGGTGGTACATCGTATGGTGTGCCATGTGGCAGGGTGGTGGGCGGCGGGTCTGTTGTGAACGCCATGTTCTTCCATCGATCAGACGCAGAGCTCTATAACGCTTGGGAAGAACTGGGTGCGACTGGCTGGGGTTGGGCTGACCTGTTTCCGTATTTCAAGAAGGTATGGTTTACTCTCGGTTTGGGAACCGTATGCTGATGAGGAGAAGAGTGAGACGTTTACAGCACCGGACGCGGATTATGCAGCTAGTCACAACATTACCTGGGATGCTTCCGTCCATGGCTTTGAGGGCCCAGTGCAGGCTAGCCATGCTCCTTATGACTACCCGGGTAGCGGTGAGTCTCTAGCGACCCAGCTGAAGTATCTGAAAGCTCACTATCAGGGTAGCCAACATGTACAACGGAGCCCTAAAGCTAGCTATCCAGCCAGCCCTAGACCCCAACAATGGCCGCGCTCAAGGCATATTCCGTCTCCTTCGCTCCGTTGATCCCAAAACGCAGACGCGTTCTTCGGCTCGAATCAATCGCTATGATAGGGATGCGGCGAGGCCAAACTATCACATCCTTCCGAATACAGCGGTATCGCGCATTCTGTTCGAGAATGTCACCGCTGTAGGCGTGGAGTATATCGGTACGACCAGTGGCGAGAAGCACACTGTCCAAGCGAGCAAAGAAGTCATCATAGCTGCTGGAAGCGTTCACACCCCGCAGATCCTGCAACTTTCTGGGATTGGCGACACTGGTCTTCTCAAGAGCTTGGGTATTGAGACTGTTTCAGGTCTCCCTGGTGTCGGTCGAAATCTGCAGGATCATCTGGTTCTGAAAGTGAATTACAACTGTACGCGACTGAGTTCCATACTTGTCCTTTATGGGTCGACTGATTGATACAGATACATCTAATCACTTTCCGAATGGTGATTCATTGCAGTCGAACGCCACATACGCCACAGAACAACGCGCTCTCTACGACGATGGAAAAGCAAGCGCATTCGACCTCACTGGCACAACTGGCAATCTTATGATCCAGCTACCGCTTTCAAACTGGACAAATGACTCCGCATCTATCATGTCTCGAGCGTTTTCTCTCTCACCGAGCGATGTACTTGGTAGCGACGTGGACCCGTCAATTCTCGCCGGGTATGAAAGACAGCGTGCCATCATTCTCAAGGACATCAACGTAGAGGCCGTGGGCGGTCTATCATGGAACACCGGCCCAGAAACAAGCATCTACATGACCCGCCCTCTCAGCCGTGGTTCAATCACCATAAACTCAACTAGCATCCTTGACGCTCCACTCATCGATTACGGCGCGCTGACAGACCCAACCGACCTCGACATGTTATACGCGATCTACATGAAGAACCGCGAACTAATGGCAACACCTGATATTGCCATTCTCGGTCCCATAGAGACAGCACCCGCACCGGGCATCAGCAATGAGCAAGATGCCAAGGAGAAGATCAAAGTGGCATTGCAGCCAAGCAACGCGCATCAGTGCTGTACTGCTGCTATGATGCCAAGAGAAGATGGCGGGGTCGTCGACCTGCAGAATAGAGTCTATGGCACGTTCGGACTGAGTGTGGTGGATGCGAGTACGTGGCCGCTTGTTGCTGGTGGTGGGCCTCAGGCTAGTGTTTATGCTGGAGCTGAGAAGGTAAGGTTATGATCGAGGAAAGCTGGTAATCATATGTACTAATGATGCGTAGGCCGCGGATATGATCAAGAAGCGTCACGGATTGCTTTGAGATCCGTCTCTTGATGTGCTTGGCGTTCGTAAGCCGCGGCGTGGACATGGAGAAGTTGTCGGAGTTTGCGGAGTTATCGCTCTTGACTATCTGTCGGGCGTTGATCTCATCTCACGTGTAGTCTACATTCAATGCAAAGTATTCTGAGGCAGCATCGAGGTGTTTATGCGTGGTTACTAAATGGGTTCTCGTAGGAAGAGCTATATATACTTGAACGTACGAGGAGCAGTTCTTCACTTCACCAACTAATCGAGTGGCACTTGAGATGGATACTTCACAGCTTTTCACTGTCGAAGGCATGATTGCTGTGGTTACAGGCGGAGGCACAGGTACCTTCTCTGCTCAACTATCTCATCTCATCTCACTACCAAAACAAACACAACCACTAACAGCACCCCAGGAATCGGCCTCATGATAGCCCACGCCCTCGCCTGCGCCGGCGCATCCAAAGTCTACATCCTCGGCCGCCGCGAAGACAAACTTTCCACCGCAGCCTCTCAACACGAAAACATCATCCCATTTCAATGCGACATTTCATCCAAAGCATCCCTGCAAGCCGCCGTAGACTTCATCGCCCAAGACACAGGCTACATCAATATCCTCATCGCAAACTCCGGTATCTACGGTCCATCCTCAAGCTTCGCTCCGCGTCTCAGCATCCAAGAGCTGCGAAAATCCATGTTCGAGAACACATCTATGGAAGACTTCACGCAGACCTTCCATGTCAACACCACCGCGACGTACTTTACTATGCTGGCTTTTCTCGAACTACTGGATGCAGGGAATAAGAATGCCCTAGCCGGTGGGTTTGGTAGACCGTTGAAAGAAGGTAGTAAAGTACCAAGTATACAGTCACAAGTCATTATTACATCCAGTGTAGGCGCTTTCCTGCGTGAGTGGCAATGCGCACCGGCGTATGCAGGGAGTAAAGCAGCAATTATGCATCTGGTCAAACACACCAGTACAGGGCTTGCGCCGCATGGTATCAGAGTCAATGCTCTGGCGCCTGGATGTCCATCTTCCCCTCCCCGCAAACCTACCGCTCCGTGGCTAACAGCATGTCAGTCTTCCCATCTGAGATGGCCAATGCAGTTATCGAAAGCAGAGACCCTAGTACAGAGAGTGTCGACAATCCGAACTTCATTCCTGCACGAAGGTTTGGTGGGGAGGAGGAGATGGGTGGGACGGTGTTGTATCTCGCGAGTCGGGCCGGGAGCTTTTGCAATGGGTTGGTGCTTGTGAATGATGGGGGGAGGTTGGGTGTTACGACGAGCAGTTATTAAAGATGGTAAGGGTACGGGCCATGTATGAGCAGCTGCCATGTCAATATGAAGGCAAGCTGTATATTCTCTTGTTCCCAGCCCTGAACGAGAGTAATCGCGACGCCGTTGCATGCGCGCTGTGACTATGACATCACAGACGCTGAACATCCACCGCCTGATGCACGTCGTTTGCGATACTTCCGCTGATCATGCCGAGCAGCGTAAGCTCTTTTTCCCGACCAAAAAGATGTTTAATGTCCGACCGGCTAGCAGCAGCTGTAGGACGAAGGAAGACAAGGCTGAGCGAGAGAGAGCCTTCACCCCAGCGTTCCTCAGCGGCAAGCGCTATGACAGGTGGACGACGACCCACCATCTACTGCCCACCGCCAACCCCAACCCCCAAACCAGCCTTTCACAAAATCCTTCGATACCACAAACCCTCCTTCTAGCTCCCAACCCATCACCTCTGTGTCGCCCACCCCCCTCCCGGCACCACTCCCCCATCCACACGCATCACACCGCCCCTCGGCCCCTTTCCCCATCCACCACTACCCTCCTACAACACACATGCAACGCTCTTAGGATAATCCCCGTAGACGCGCCGTACAGAAGTGGAGCCTCATACTACGCATCAGTCCTGCATGGTCTGCTGTGCGACACCTGCTGACCGGCTTTGTGCGTGTGTGACGGGCTGTCGTGTGTAACGCGAGCAGGGAGGATATGCCTGCACCTGCCCTGCGGCAGGGTCCAGATGCAGCCCGGACCCGTGTTCTGAAACGAGCGTTTGTTTACTGCGTTTGGTTGTGTAGGTTCGGGGCGGTGTGTAGCATGCAATGTGTGTATGTGGGGAGACGGATGGTGGAAAGCGGTATGTGGAAGAGAGATTGCTGGTTGGGGTGTGTCGTTACGAGGTGGTGTGGGTCTGTTTTCGGGGTTCTGCAGCGAGTGTTTGGGGAGAAGTGACATGCGATCAGGCGTGAGCTGAGGTGTCTGCGAAACAGGCAGGGATATACTGTTGGAGTGTGGTTGTGCAGCTCAAGGTAAACTCTTTGCAGAAGCGAGAACGTGCATGTCTTTTTTGGAACAACATGAGAGTGGTGAGCAACGCGCGTCAGGTGGTGATAGTACCTTGCTTTACTCTGCAGGTGGAACCGTGGGGTTGAAGCTCGTTACGATTATCATTATTCGCTCATGACACCTTTTATGCTAATCAGTACAAAGTATCCGGTACATGACCTCCTATATTTCCGTGGTATCGCATGCGCAGCAACCTTATACACACTAAGCTTGCGACATGTGCTTTTCCCAATTTGAGCGAGTGTGAACGTGACAAGAATGCGGGGTGTGTTTAAGGAGCGGCCCTGGCGTTTTGTCTTGACGAGAAGACATGGTAGTGATACTGGTGTACAAGAATAGACATTAGCCGCCCAAGCAGAAAACAATCGTAACGTTTCGTAGCGTAGCAATGATGCTGAAAGCAATGCAGTGTAGAACATCGAGACGAATACATAGCGTTACAACACAGTGTTGAATAAGCAGAAAGGAAACATGGTTTGATGAACGCCAACCGGAAATGGCTCACCGGTTGCTGAGAACAATGCGAAAGCGTAACGTGAACCGGGCCGAGAGCCATGCTCATGATGATGACGGAGTGCTCGACGAGTCGATTGCCGGGACTAAGATGCAGAGAGGGAACAGCGTGCTGGCTGGAGCTCCCCGTCCAAGGATGCAGCGATGTGAGATGTTGTACATTGGCATAAATCCAGACCATTAAGTACCCCACGGCGATGAAAAAGGATTGGGATACGCAATAGTGACGAGATAAGAAGAGTGATGCAGGCAGGCTGATCCGCCGTGATGCTGAAGGGGGTATCTCAGTAAGTGCTGTTGAGGTTTCCCATCGAGGTGCGGTGGAGCTGCACAGGCTGCATGTTCCGATTCTGGCAAGACTCGCGATGCAAGCTGCGATTTCCTGGGGAGCCCCGTGTTTGGCTGTGGCTGAGAGGTGTGTAGCGGTGACCACTGACGAGTGTGCAATCGCTCGATGACTCGCCACTTAGCGAGTTCCGCTTTGACGACGAGTCAGGGCTGTAGCTGTATAGATTCGTCTGTGAGGCTGGGCGTGTCATTGGGCGTGTCTCACGGACATAGGAGTAGTTTGTCGCTGGAGCTGGCGCACTCATGCCTTCGAGAAGACCAGATGTACTGAAGTTCAGCTCTAGCTGAGATGCAGCAGTGGTTGCAGTCGCATCGTCCGCGGTTGACGTTGTATTTGGCATGTAACTCATCCTGCTCTCCGCGTTGTCTGGCATGACCGGGGATATTAGTTGGGTAAAGGCATCTGCAGATGACGCCCCGGATGCGTTGGCGTGACTCTCGCTGTCGGTAGTCCACGGTAGTAACGATTTCGCGAAAGAGCCTCTACCGTCCATACCCGAAGTGCCAATAGCCTGGGCCGAGCGGAGACGAGCATCTTGCATCTGGTCTACAACATGGCTGCTCTGAGCTGGGCTCGGTTGTGGCATTGGCAGTTGTCTCCTAGGCACACTGGAATCCAGAGGGAGAGGTTGTCGTGGATGGGGCCTCTCAGGGATAGTCAATTGCAGAGAAGACATTCCGGTATTGAGAGGGGATACGTCCGAAGGTGTGGCCAGTCGACCATTTGTATGAGCGAATTGCAAGTCCTGATCAAAGTATGTGCTTCCTTGCTGCAAAGACTTCGCAGTTGGCTGAGTCCAGCGATAAGCAGGTGTGTACATGTTTGCGTTTGCGAGTGCTGTAGACTGTGGTAGATATGCGGGTGGCTGGTCGAGAGGGTATGCGTCAACCGGCGATGTGTCTTCCGAATAAGGTAAAGTCCATGCTGAAGAATAGGCCGGCTTCGAATCGAGTTGCGAATACTGCTGATTTGGCATGGGGCGTGCATAAAGACCGCTATTGCCTCCCGTAGAGTACATGGACATCATGTTGTTATGCGCGGTGGCCATACCACTGAGGCTGTAGGCCATGCTTCTGTCGTCTAGCACTTTGTGGACGGAATCGGATCCCACCTGACTGAATGAGTGAATGTACAAAACGCAAGCAACTAACGTACTCTGTGGAATTGACAGGCTGCCGGTTCAACTCCAGCCGTTCGGCAGTTGACGCACCCAATATCATTTCCAGGATCGCCGCTGCATCGAATCTTCCTCTTACGGCAACGCGCGCACTGGAGACAATGTTAGTAAAAGTAGGAACAGCATTTATAGGAAGTATAGTTAGGAAGGCAGCGAGGAATCGTGTTCCTTGTGAATGCTTCCGAAATTTTTGAAACACATGTTGACATACCGCTACTGCAATGCGACGTCTCGCTGGCCCATTTCCCATCATGGGTTCTTCCATGCTGGCTCGGTTATGCATACCGCCCACTGGGCCGCCCATGGGATAACCTCGTGGATTTTCTCGCGTATTATGGGCTAAGGACAGCGGAGCATTGCGATCGCTGTACATGTAGTTCGGATAGGACAGGTTGTGAGGCAAACAGCGTCGCGGACTGCCGTACTCCATGACTGACATACTGGCGAATCAACTGAACGTCAGCTATTTCAGTCTCCATGACCTGAAGTTGACTTACATCTCACAAGGATACCGACAAGATCGACTGTTGGCGAATTACCCACAGGTATGATTCGGATAGCGTTCGCGGGATGCAACGCCCGAGTCAAGAGAGGGCAGTAGTTGATGACTGGACCGTGGGCG